TTGGGAAGGGAGGGATGCTGGATGAAGAAAAGAAGTGAAGATGAAGGAGTGGGCGCATTTCCGAAAGTAACTTCTCCACAAACGAATCCGTGAAGATTGAAGGAAAGATGGAGAAGAGACGAGGGAGCAGGGGGAGAACGGGAGAGAATGGAGTCCAGTCCATCGAGTGAAGATCGAGACGAAGACAATAGAATGGAAAAGTTTGCTCACCATACAGCACGGGCCAAGCCGCTTACGACGCACCCACACGCAGACCTCCCCGTTCTTCAGATCCAGCGATTCAGTCGTCGCGGGAGGGAAGTACTACGTTTCCAACGGCACCCCCGTCGGCGCGAGCTCATCCTTCCACCGAAGGCAGCACTGCATCATGGAGACAGCTAACCGTGTACCTGCGCGCCACAGCCGTTTGAACGCGACCGGGGTACTTGCGAGGAGGAGGCGGGGATGATCCTCTGGAAATATTTGGAGGGTCCAAGGACAATATTCGTCGTAATCGTCGGTAAAGATATGGCTTGAAGACCTTGGGTCTTCCGCGCCACAATAGATGGCCGCGGATTCGATTGCAGGAGCCCGCAGGAGACAGCAGGACGTCTGCGCAGACAAGAGCTCTCAGAAAAAGTCGCCAAGGGCAGAGCATCGGTAGGTAAGAGGCTGCATTTTCTTTCGAGATGGAGGAGGACGGCAAGCGGCGTGTGGCTGTGTCCGTCACGGTCACGTCACGTTGAGTGACTCTCGCTTGACTCCCGCCACGACCGCCCGGCGCTCCGTTGGTTTATTCCTGCTCGAGAACGACTGGAATGAAACTTTAGAAATGCATTTGGATGACAACGGCCGCACACACGCAATTTGGGATGATCCTGGAATCTGCATGCGCCGCGGCACTCGGTCAAAATTCGATTCCAAGACTTCACTGAGCTCCTTCACGTTGAGACTGTAATCAAGGCTAGGGCTACAGTAAGATGTGTCTCGTTTACCACTACCTGGAGCTGCTACTTGGGCCCTACACATTCTACGGCGAATAACTAGCCTCGAATTCAATGCGATAGTGTTATGCTCGGTTTAAATCTCTCGTGACAGACTCCCTCGCTCGTTCCTCGTCCAGAATTAGGTATCCTCCGGCTTTAATGTCCGTCTCTAATAGAAATTACAGAAGTCGCAGTCAATAAATCGGCTAGCCTCATCCTAACTCAGTTTACCTTTACGCAAGATGAGACTCAAGTTACGGCCACGTCGACGATCTTGTGCCCCCGACTGTGTCCGCCTACCGCCTCTTTCCGCCATGCTAATCTCGAAGTTGACTGGCCTTCCCCTCGCCGCATCGCAAGTTGGGTCTCCGCTCCAGGTCTGCCTCAATAATGTCTTCGCGTCAAACAAGGGCGGCGTGTCCTACCCGCAAGACTTTCTGTACCAGTTCATGGACGTCAATCCTTACAGCACGAACATCCCGGTCGGTCCGGCCGCGGTTACGTGCGTCGTGCCCCAAACGTTTCGCACACATTGGTCACACATGTAACCGAACATTTCCCACCACCATGCGTGTATACGTGATTCTGAACAACTATCTTCAGAAATCGCGCCAGGCATACTATAGAGGCTGAATCGAGCCTACCATGCGTGCACAGCGCTCATCTATCGCCGTGACTTCGTCCTCACGACAACAGCACAGCCGCTGCCACGTAATGATTGTTTCTGTCTCAGCCTCCCGATCTTGCTGTACCACTCTGCGGCATAGTGGAACACTAAGGGAGGCCCGACGTAACGAGTCTACCGACTACTCAAGTCACCGTGTCAAGTGAAATAAATTGGAGGAAGGTAGTAGCCAGAGCTCTTCCCGAGGTCACGGTATATTTCGCCATTGAATGGCCGCTGGACACTCCGAGCATCAACATCTGCCGCGTAGAGGCGACTTCTTCCGGTCGAGATGCAGTGTCATCGCCTTGCGCGCAGTGGGAGTATAAACGGCGACTGAGTATCGCACCCACGCAAACACCCATCCGCTCTCTGACTCTCATGCTTCTGTCTTGGATCGTCACGTTCACAGCGATCCCGTCCGCCCTTGGCGCAAAAAGCGCGGGCCAGGTGCCCATTCGCAATGGAGTGGTTGGCGGCGTGGTTACCACCAAAGCGCCAACGGTAAAGGCGGAAACGGTGCAGTCTTTCGCGACTAAGCCGGGCACGCTGCGGGTGGTGGAAAATTCTGGGGTCTGTGGTATGTGCTTTGAAAGACGCATTGCTCTGTTCTGAGCGGTGAAATCATCAGAAACGACCCCAGGTGTATACCAGGCCTCGGGGTACGGAGATCTGACGTCAAGCAAAAGCATATTGTTCGTCACTACTCTTCCGTCTCTATGCAGAGGAGCGCAGCTAATCTCCGTCCAGCTTCTGGTACTTCGCGGCTCGGAACAGCCCTTCAACCGCCCCTCTTTCCCTCTGGTTCAACGGCGGTGTACGTATCTTCATTGCGCCCTCCGAACGCGCCTTGAAATCTCCTCGCGAATAGCCCGGCAGTTCGAGCATGATTGGCTTGCTGCAGGAACTCGGTCCATGCCGCATCACTAACGATAGCGCCTCGGTCACACTGAACCCGTTCTCGTGGAACAACAACTCAAACATGCTCTTCATCGACCAGCCCGTCGGTGTCGGCTTCTCGCACGGCACCGAAAGCGTCGGCACGTCGCAGGACGCAGCGGCGGACATGTGGTCGTTTCTGCAGATCTTCCTCAAAGATTCACGCTTTTCGAAGTTGGCTGCTAATGACCTAGCCATTTGGACCGAATCGTGAGTTTCATTATTATTTGCTTTCATTCATGCTTTTGACTGCGCGGTTCCCAGGTATGGAGGCCACTACGGCCCTACGTTTGCTGCGTACTTCTTGTCTCAAAACAGGGCCATCGCCGCTGGCAAGCTCAGCGGACAACATCTCAATCTCAAGACGCTGGGCATAGGCAATGGCTTGACTGTAATTTTTTAATGTGCTTGAAAGATATGTTCTCTGACCCGCTGCCTCACAGGACCGTGAGCTCTTTCTGTCGCTAAATGATCTTTTCATTTTCTTACCGTGGCTCCTCATCGACTTACAGCGCTATCCCAATACCCGGGCTACATCAGCTATTCTCAATCAAACCCGTACCACCCGCTCGTGAGCCCGTCCGTAATCGCGAGCGCAAACACATCCTGGAATACACCGACCACGGGCTGCAAGGATCAGGTACGTGCCAACTGTCGCTGTCATCCGTGTTGGATCTTCATAGCGGTTTAGATCATAGCGTGCAACAACGGAGGTAACAACTCTGTGTGCTCGGACGCCCAGTCCTTCTGCAACGGCGAAATCCTTGGCCCACTCATCGGCGCGTTTGATGTATGTTTTGATCTCGTAATTCCTAGTGAGGTTTAACTGCGACTGTGTAGGTCTACTACGTTCCCTCCGGCGCTGCTGACCCCTACCCGCCGGACATCAGTTTGTACCTGGACTCAATCCGAACCAAGATCGGCGCCGAAGTAGCGTGGGAGGAGACCAACGCCGAAATCTACGACAATTTCTCGGTTAATGGTAGAGCTACTTGGCTGATTTCGTTCGTTCCGACTGATGGACTCGGTGATCCCAGGCGACTGGATGCGCAGTTCTCTGCCTGATCTCGAAGTGGTTATCAATTCGGGTGTGCGGGTCATGATTTATGACGGCGACGCTGTACGTTCGAGCTATCCTTGCATTTCTGCTTCGTTTAAGTTTTTCTTTGCCATTAGGACTACATCTGCAACTTTATGGGTGTCGAGGCAATGGTAACCCACATCACCACGATTGAGTTTTTCGATGTTTGATTCTCTTTTACTCTTACAGATTGGGAAGCTCAACACGAACTTCAGCGCCAAGTTCAATCAGCAGGAATTTGCACCGTACCTTGTGAACGGCCAGCTCGCTGGACAGTTCAAAACTGCGGGAACCTTGTCAGTCACACTTAGCCATTCATTCATTCATTTTGTTCATGATCTGATCCACACCTCCGCACAGTTCCTACGTCCGCGTCTACGGTTCCGGACACGAAGTCCCCGCGTACAAAAACGGGACGCTAGCAGTGGGCGAGGCGGCGTTCCAGATATTTTCGCAGACGATGGCCAACCAGTCTGTGACGTCGACCACGCCCAACGTCGACCAGTCTACGACAACGACAGGCAACCCCGGCCAATCTACGACGCCGACGCCGACCAAGCCCAACGGAGCGCGGCTGAGGTACACACTCCCGACGAGCATAACTTATGCGTATCTTCTATTTTTACTGATCTGTATCCTACCCTCGTAGTCGTCGTAGCACATATACCATGGGCGTCTCAGTGCTGTCGATCCAGACTGAGACGTCGGTCTAGTCACCGTAGATTATACACTGTTTTATTATTTTTGGTTTTGGGTATATGTATAATACCAGGGTGGCTTCATCCAGAGGCGCTGTTGCGCGTCACCAGGCTCTGGCACAGATGGCTCAGTCAACTGGGCATATTATTTGAGATTGTAACAGCAAAGAGGCCTGGATCGTCATCTCGCCAGAACGCTGCATAAACAGGCAGAGTTTGTAGACCCAGGCATCGGCGGAGGCAATACGAAGCAACACTGCTACGAGTATTCAGAGAAGGGCGGTAGAGCCAACAAGGAGATTTCAAATAGCCCGTGGTAGTCGTTGAATCCACCGGTTTGAGGGCTCGACCCCGAGTCGAACGGGGACTCCTGCCGGGACTTCATACACGGATTATTGGGTGCAGGCGCGGTCCCCATCGCTATCGAGCCAACACTTCACTTGAACGGTTCTTGAAGACATGCGCTTCGAGTATGGGGAATCAGCAAGATTTTATACAAATGAGCCGAACACGTAACGTTGTCGCAAGCGGAGGGCTTTGGTTGAGGGGCCCGGAGACAATCCAGGATCCAGGTAGAAACACGGGCGGGATGCTCGCAGGGAAAGCATGCCCGCAGGGCCGCAAAAAAAAAGAAGCGCACTGTACAGGACCCAGGGCTCGACCCCGAATCGAACGAGGATCCTCTGCTGAAATATCTACCGCGGCACTGCGCACAGACGCGGACCATCCGCCACCGAGCCGATATTCAGCGGGAATGGTCGCCGAATACGTGTCAATATTTCGGGCATGGCGGAGGCGAGGCGTTAGGTCGTTAATCTACACCACCGGCGTCGAAGTGGGACTGACTCGCCACGGAGAACGTTTGGATGGACCACAAGCGAAAATTATGAGGAGCGCCGGCCGGAAACGAAAGGAAAAAAAGGATGCACGATTTTTAAGCACAAGGCTCGACCCCGAGTCGAACGGGAAATCCAGCAGTGTTGCATGGTCTTTGCTTGATCGGGTTGTGGAGGTGCGCTCATACCGCCATCGAGCCGATAGTCCGCTCGAATGGTCCTCGAATAGGGTTGGATGTTTCTGCGATATTTAGCCTCAGCGAGCCTCAGGCTGCCGCAAGCAGAGGCCTTTGGTTGAGGGGTCCGGAGACCTCTACTTTTGAGGGCGGAATCCAGGATCCAGGGAGGACGTGCAGGGGTCATGCCACAGTCCGCAGCGAAGGCGTGTCGGTGGCACGGCCAACAAGGAAGAGTAGCGTGGAAGACCCACGAATCGAACGAGGATTTTGTGCGCTGAATATCAACAGCGGCAATGCATGCAGAGGCGGAGCATCTGCCGCCGAGCCGATATTGAGCTCGAGCGGTCCTTCAATACGTGTGGATATTTCCGGCACCTTGAAGGCTAGGCGTCAGATCGCTAATTCTCTACCACCCGCCGAGGAGGGCACGATTGGGCAGGTGCGGTCCCCCCGCCATCGAGCCGATATTCAGTCCGGATGGTCCGTGAATGTAAGCTGACGCGGAGGCGTGCAGAATAAACCAGGGACCGGGATGCGCTCCTCGGGCTATAACTTGTCCTGCCGGGCGTGTAGAGTGGGCAGGCAGGAGATACAGAGGGGTATCAAGTGGGCGGTCAGAGATGCAGTGCAGTGCAGAGTTTGCCGGCCTGGAGGGAAGGCTTGCCCGCGGCGAAAAGAAGAATACCCGCGGCGACAAGACGAAAAGGAAGACTCACAAGCCTGAGGACCCGGGGCTCGACCTTGAATGGGACGAGGAGAGACATGCGGACAAATCACAATGCACGCAGACGCGGGGTATCCGCCAGCGAGCCTTGTCCCTGTAAGTGTTGTAGCCAGTCCCCGAGGCTCGAAGACGAAAGCGGGAGCGCAAGCCTGATCCGTCACGGCCATGGCACCGCCATCGCCACGCGTCACGCACCTCTCCGTGACGCCACTTTTCTCTTGCCACTTCCTCTCGCTCTTCGATGGCAGGCGCCTCACGGACGGAGCTCCTCGCGTGGCTGAACGAGCTGCTGCAGATCAACTACACGAAGGTGGAGCAGTGCGGCGCGGGCGGCGCCTACCTGCAGGTGCTCGACTCGATCTACCTCGACGTGCCGATGGGGCGCGTCAAGATGGGCGCGAAGCAGGAGTACGAGTACGTGGCCAACTACAAGATCATGCAGAACATCTTCAAGGCGAAGAAGATCGACAAGCCGATACCCGTGGAGAAGCTCATCAAGTGCAAGATGCAGTGCGTGCCTGCGTCTCTCTTCCCTCCGCCGTACATTAACGGGGCACTGGAAGGGATAACCTAGAGTTCCTCCAATGGATAAAGAAGTTCTGGGACGCGAACTATAGTGGCGAGCCGTACGACGCCATCGCCCGGCGCAAGGGCGCGCCCGCCGAGCCCGCCGCGACCCTCGCGCCCGCCCGCCCTGCCGTCGCCGGCTCAGCGGGTGCGGGTGTGGCGGGCGCGCGGATGGGCGGGCGCACGCCCGTGGGCGGGCACCGCGCGGGGGGAGGCGGGGACCCGGGGGCGGTGCAGGCGCTGACGGGGCAGGTGCGCGAGCTGGGCGCGCAGTTGGAGGAGCTGGAGAAGGAGCGCGACTTTTATTTCGCCAAGGTGCGTCCCTTGCTTCTTGACCCACTTTCCGTATGGCGTTGTGTATCGCCCGTTCCTCTCCCTCCCTTCCCTCCCTCCTTCTCCTTTACTCACTCCGGCCCGGCGATATAGTTGCGCGACATCGAGATCCTCGTGCAGCAGAAGACGGAGGCGCTCGAGGAGGCACACGCGCCGGACGACGAGACGCTCCGCGAGATACAGAAGATCTTGTACAGCACCGAGGTGCGTTGTCTTCTTCCCTCCACTCTCGTCTTCCTGCTGTCTTGCGGCGCTGTCCGTCTTTCACGCGTTTCTTCCCTGCCATCCCATCTGCTCTTTCCGCGCGCGCAGGTGTACCACGCGTTCGTTCGATCGCGTGCGATCCCCCGCCACTTGTCGTGCGCCGCCCCGTTCCTTCGTTCGCGTCCCATTCTCTCCTGCCGCTATCTTCCCACCCCCCGTGCACATCTTCCGTACATCCTCCGCACATCGCACATCCTTTTGTTCTGCATCCCATCGTCTTCGCCGCATCTTCTGCATTCCTTCTTCCCGTTATGACATCCCATGCGCATCTCACCGCGCTCCTCGCATTCCCCGCGCCCCATCCATCCCATCGTCTTCCCCGCATCTTCTACATTCCTTCTTCCCGTTATCATGCGCGCCACCCGTCCTGTCGCTCCCCCTCCCGCTTCCCATGCCGCCCGCCCATCCCCTGCCGGTATCTTCCACCTGCTGCTCGCGCGACGCAGGTCGTGTGCCGCACGTCTGCGTCACGGCCCCTTCCTTCGACCGTGTTATCTCCCCTCCCGCTGTCCACTCGCCCCTCCCGCGCTGCGCTGCGCCTTCATTCCCTCCGCGCGCGCCCGCCTGTCTCCACCCGCCCTCCCTGCCGTCGCCCGTCCTTTCTTCTCCCCTCCCCTCCGCTCTGTACGGACGCTACGCTAACCCTTGTTGCAGGAGGGCTTCGAGGTGCCCGAGGGCGAGGGCGAGGGCGGCGGGGTCGGGGTCGACGAGGAGGAGACGTTCTAGGCCCGCGCGTGCCCTTCCCCTGCCTTCTTGGTGCGCTTGCGGCGTTGGTGGAAAAGGAGGCGGGACTTGGGGGGAAGGAGCCGGATGCTAGATACAGTATGCTAGAGGTGTGTTTAATATTGTTGGTTTGTGTCACCGTGGACGCTCTGAGCACTCGGCGTGCGGTGTGCGCTACTGTAGAAGCTCCGTATGTGTGGTCTGAGAACTTGACTTAGATGGCATAGATGGCGCGAAGCTCAGACACGCGCGCCGGCGCCGGCGCCGCGAATCTTGAGTTGCGTGCTGTTCGTTCTTCCTCGAGGTGAATGGTGCCATCACAGGACTTTCGGTTGTTCTTCCTTCTGCGGCCGGGGAAGGCTAAACGAATTCCGCGCGCGGAGCGAGGCGAACGTAGAGGGCGGGCGGGCGTGTACGGTCCGCAGGATGGACGGACGGACACATTGACACGAATTAGCAGCAGAAGGAGCCCCGCTCAGCTTTTTTCCCCGCGTGCTTCACGGGCAAGGGCGATTTGGATGCGTTGGGCCGCTGGAATTTGGCGCGCGCGATCGGAGCTGTGTAGTGAGGGGGATCCGCTTAACGTGGAGAGTGTTGGAGGGGAGGGAACCAGCGCGCGCGGTGCGTGGTACACGGCTGCATCCGTAGGCTGCGCGCGCGTCGTCCAGCAGCAGCTTCGGGCTCGACTCCCGGCGCTCGATTTACTAAGAGACTTTCTTCTTTTTTCCCTAGTTTCCAAGTCGGCCAGCCGACGATGGCGGGGTGGAGTGGAGGCGCGGCGAGCTGGCTCATGGTTGATCTGGAAGCGCGTCTGCCGGGTAAGGGCTTGTGGACGACTCGGAGCCTGAGGTGCTTTTCGGACGTCTTGTGGATTTATTTGTTTTTGGCGCAACATGCAGAAAGTTAGGTTAGAATTCAACCCACTCCTCGGACCTCCAAAATGCGGCAAATGTAGAGAGGAGTGAGGTGGGGAGGCAGCGCGTGCGGTGGATGGTACACCTACGTCCATTGCGAGGTCGAAGGGATGAAAGTAGGAGCGCAGGTTCGACTCCCGGCGCCCGTTGTGTGGTGTGAATCATGGATCACCTTTTTATTAATATTACATTTCTGTATTTCTACTTCGCACTCCCACTGCGTTATGGTGCAGAGGATTTGAACTGGAGGCGAGGCACCGAATATTTTTCTCATTCGGCATTTTTCGGGAGACCCTACTTGGGAGGGATTAAAGTGGAGGCAGGAAGCGAGCGTGGTGTACACAGCTACATTGAATATTCCAGTCACAAAAGTCCAGCAGCGGACCGGGTTCGACTCCCGGCGCCCACATACTTCTCCTCTGAAGTTTTTTTCCCCCCTGCCAACTTTGAAGTCACTGTCGTTGATAATGGGCGCGAGTACGTGCTGCTTCTAATCCGATTCGCAAGTGCGTTCGCTTGTTAGCTTAGCGCGCGTGCGTTGCGATATTGAACTACAGAAAATTCAACTAAATACTAAGGTGATCTTCCAATCCCGGGCAACTCGGCGGCCTTCCCCTCGACTCCGTCGTGACAATTGAGGGAGTAAAAATCTACTCAACTAGTAGAGGATTAAAGTCTACACAGTGAGCGGGCGTAGGTGTACGGCAGACGTGCTTTACAACAGGAATTCAAACATGACAGCCTACTAAAACTGCCGAGCGACTTCACTCAACACCTCCCACGAAAACTTCTCTAAGCCAAGGATCGTCAGGTCTTGATAATCCACTTAATATCCGCCTCTGTAGCCGGCACATTCTGCGCTCCGTACACCGCAGCGAAAGGATCAAGATCGGGGTTCGCCTGCCGATTGTACTCCATGGTATTGCACGCAAACTGCGCCTTGTCCTCACCGTACACCTGCGCGATCCACGCAATCATGCCGTCTGTGCCTGCGCTCACTCCGCTCGTCGTCCACACGTTGCCCTGCGGCACCCAGCGCGCGTTCGCGACCCAGTACGTCGCCTTGTGCCACTTCTTTTCGACGAAAAAGTAGTTCCACGCGGACTTGTTGGTGGTCGCGGCTAAACCCTCGAGCGCGGACGGGACTTGCGGGTCCTTGCTTGATCGAAACGCCGCGAGATTTCCCCCTGTGCAGACGGT